TCGAAAATAAACGACAATAAGTTTCCTGAAAATCTTCCTTTAGATGTCTTTTTTAGCCTATAATGAGCTACCGTCACCTTCTTCTCTTATTTTGCGATACAACAAAGACGTAAAGAGACTGATCTAAACGTCCCGTACGCAGCACACGGAAAGAATTTACTGCTACGTCTCGGTGAAATATGGTAATGGCGGTTACATGACAGATATTAGCAACGATTACCACTTGCGCCACTGGTTTGTGTGTGTAGAGATTTCCAACGCCCTCTTCGGCTGGCATTAACAACGCGTGAATAATGGCGATATTTCGCCGTTACGGAATGCGAAACCCTCGATACGCTGGAGTAATTCAGCGATAATGGCCGCACAGATTTTCTTCCAGCTACGACGGCCGAAAAACTTTCCAACCTGAGAATTATCTCTGCTGGAGTCTGTAAAACTGTTGACGAATAACTAGCATAATTGATACCAACTCTGACACTATCTGGACCTTTATATATTCTCGAACAGGAAATATATATAATTTGCGGAAATATAATGGAGCGAAATTTTTAGGAAGTTTCTTATAAGTTTCTTGGTTCAGTGTCGTAACAATTTATATATTAAGTGTCCAACTAGTTTCTTTCGTTTTATCAATAAGTAATACATACAAAGTATTTTATATTTTATGTTACGTTAATATTTTCACTGAGGAAGTAAATAAATTAATTTTGAAGGTGAGGTGTTAAAGAAAATTAAATCTGAATAGGATTAGTAAACTCTGAGGAGGTCGGAAAAATAAATACCGCAACAGATATTGGATTATATCATTTCTAATTGTATAGAAATAAAATTTTAGCCTTGTAGGAGTTTCACTATTATTACTAATAATTTATTAGTCTGGCAGTCGATGAATTGTGTACGATCCATTTTGCTCTATAAATTGTCGTGACACGAACTATTTCTAAGAGATAAGGTTGGCTTCTTGTTACGTGTCACAAGTTAAATGTCAGGAATATGATGATGAAAGTTTTACAAGAAAAAAGTTAATAATAAGAAAGTTTCATCGCAGCATTGCATTATTTCACCGACATGCCTCGGTGTTTTCGCTCGATCCTCTTCTTTATTCGCTGTCCTTGTCTACGTTCGACGGGCGTCGGCAAACATCAAATTGTTAATGTCAATAACAATAGTCTCATTGTTCATTCCAACCCGACTAACATTTGACACGGATAAATGGAGTTTTGCGGTATACCTAAAAGTTCCACGAGTGGTTAATATTTTTGGACAGCGTATCTTCCATTGGCACGCGTGATGTCCAGGATTCTCGTTCGAGGTATTATCGAACGCGATTCTACTGGGTTTCGAGCGCGCATGCGACACCATTCGTTGGCGAATCGCCAAGAAAAAGAGGGTGGCGTGGGTGACTCGCGCGAGCAAAGCGAGCTGACCCGAACTCATCGCATGAGACTCGACCTCGCTCCTCTCCTCTCACCGACTGCCGCCTCTCAAAATAACCTCGGTGCCTCGTTTGACGTCACCGTCGATCCGAATCAACCACCGTTCTCCCCTTTACCGCGGTTTCGACGATTTTACGCCGCGATGAAAGCACAATTAACTCGGCGCATCCTTCGGATTGTCTGAAATCTGGATCTCTGATGGTATTTGAGACGACTCCGATAGAGGTCGTCTCCTGCGACAAATGCCAGCAAACGCCAGCAAACGCCAGCAAACCCGCATGATTCGATTTACTCCGTGTCGCTAGCATCGGCTGAATTACGAACGTTGTCGGTGTAAACTACATGCAAAATGGCGTTCGAAAGGATCGCACTTATGCATGAGAGACGCCGTTGTTGAGTATTTTCGAGATTCGCTCTGCTTTTAGCGAGAAGCGTTGCATCGAGAATGATCTTCGTTGTTTTAATCCCCCTCTTCGAAAGCGTTTAAAATAACACGCTTTATTCGAATCGTCTACCCTCATCACCCAAACGATGGCCAGACTTGCGAGATTAAATTTGAAACTTTACGAATCTTCTCTTTTATATGAATTTACGGCGCTACTTACACTCGGAATAGAAGCTTATCGATGTAATCAACATAAATTTGATTATAGTCGACGTACAGCACTGTGCAAAAGTCTTGGACCACTTACACTACATTACACCTTCGCCATTTTTACCGTTAAAGGGAGAGTACTTTTGATTTAGATTATGGATTTCATTTTATCGATATTGTTGTACTGTTTACTGGCCGAAATTCGATAAAAATAGTGTAAATTCATAAGAGAATTTAATATTCAGTACTCTTTTTGCGATCGTGACAGCGTCGAATATTCTTGAGCAACTTTTATATCATTTCTTAATTATTTCACTCGGAATATTTTATCATTCGGTTCGTAATACCTCAAACGCTTTAGTGTTTTATTCTTCTCCAAATCTTTGGAATAATTTTAAGAAAAATGATATTACATCCGCGTAAGTGCCGCGACAGGAACTGCTTGTCAGGTAAAAGGCGTATGTTTTTCATATTTAACTCAGATTCGACTCAGATCTACGAGCCTCATGCGTTGTTATATAGGTTAAAGGGTTATAGAGGTTCTTGTCATAAATTTACTTGATTTTGAAGAGGTTATTGGTTTACCCATTTAGCCTCAACAAATTATCTAAGTGCTTCATGCCAGACTGTATATTATTGATTAAATACGTCTCAGAAGAAGCTGCGTGCTTATGAATCAATCAAATACTTCTCTACTAAGAATGAATAATTATGATAAATACCTGTGATGAGAAATTTCATAGGAAGTTAGCTATATATTCGCTCCTGTTAAGTTCTGCCAACTTACCTGAAACAAAAAGAAAGAAAAATTGAGTTGGCATAGGAAATGGTTTAAAATACTGGAAAGCATCGATTGCTAAGCAACACATGCCATGGTTCCAAAGGACGAGGAAAGACTAAATAAAGTAAAAAACACCATTTTGTCATTTAACTCCTGAAGAAGCTATGAATGCTGGCGAAACCATTTATTTTTGAGACGTTCCACGAAATCGTCTGTCAAGCCGCCATTTTTATAAAAATGAAGAAAATAAAAAATGATTTTTGAGTAGAACACTTATCCAATACATTAAATTACTACAATGTAAATGAAATCTTGTTATCGCTTCAATAAAAATTCTTGAAGAAGTCTAAGAATTCGGGTCGGCCCTTAAATCAAGGCTCCCCCTTGGAAATCTTCCGTAATTAATGAATGCGTCCTAACCCTTTTCCTACCGAAAGCACTCGACCCAAAACACCCTCAACATTTCAGCAAGAATCGAGCGACTCCCGGAAGAAGGGGGCAATTTTGTTGGGAAAATGGGGCACGAGGTAGAGCGAAGATCTAGACGCGACACAGTCTATCCACGGGCGTCAGAGAGAGGAACGAGATCTACGCGACGATCGATCCTACAGCGGGGTCAAACGGATAGCGCAATTTCAACGTAATGTTTCTCTACACGATCGCGATCGATCGGCGATTTGCCCAGGGAAAGATGGCATGAGATACGTGACGGTGCTCTCGGCGAATCAAGGGACACGGAGGCCAAGAGAAAGGAGAACAAGGGGGGAGAGGGAAAACAGAACGAATAAAGGAGACGGTAAAGAATCGGATAAACGGATGATCGGTTTTCGATCCGTCGAAAGGTCGGACGGCGTCGTTCGGTAACGCGTAAAACTGTCTCGTCGAGCGTTAATGTCCCGTGAGAGATAAATTGCCTTTCAACGGCTGGGTGGGTCGCGAAATATGGTGGACAGAGGGACGCAGAAAATCCGTGACAATTATACACGTTGGCGAGGGAGGATTAGCGCGGAATTCGTAGAGGCAGCTTTTGCAGAAAAAATTCGATGGTAATGATTTGCATTGTACGAAGTTATTACACCGAATGAAGATGGGTATATAATCATTATCGAGATGTAAATTAAGTGTGCTGCAATAAAGACGCAGCTCCATCTTTTTATGGTTTTGAGATTAGAACGTAACTACGAATTTAAAAAATTCCTTTTTTTCGCGGTGCAATAAGGAGACACCACCGGTCACTAGACAAACATAATTTAATAATTAGGTACCTATGGTATGATATGAAAAAGAAAAAGAAACGTTTTTATTTAATTTCCTAAAAATGTGTACTGATGCACACCTCTCAATTACGAATCAGGTATGACGATTTTAATATTCGAAACGGGGTACAGGGAGGCTCAATCTCGAAAAATTAACGTGCACTAAAAAAATTCTTCCTGAGTTTTCAGATTACGAACCTGATAGCAGAATTTTAAAATTTTTAAAATTATGCAAAATAAAATCTTTGTACCTACAGAAATTGAACTTGAATAGAAATTTATTTTACTTTGGAAATATTACAATAGGAGCTTTGCTTTCAATATAATTTTATATTATCGCATACTGTGCGCATTTTGTCATTTTTTACACATTTTTACCATTTTCCTATAAATCCAGGAAAATCCATAGTCTAGTTATTAGATTTGAATGAAAATTTAGTTAAAAAAGTATAGTAAACATTCCTGGTAATAATTGCACGTAATTTTTATGCAGAAGGATCTTTAGATGTCTAGAAGGTAGACTTTACGAAAACAATTTTGTATACACGACAAATTCCACAGTTCCAAAATGACTTCACAAGTGCTCCTGTACTGATTCTTAATTTAATTAAAAAAATATGTAACAAGCACTTCCTGGTAGCAATTATACGCGATGCAGAAGGACCTCTCGAGCATCTTTAATTAACAAATTTATTTTCAATTGCTGCGTTTCGAGCTTTTGGCCCGCTATGGACGGTTCGAAACAAATTCCAACGTTCCAGCTGGCTACGTCGGGAAACGTATGGTTAGTTAAATGCTTATACATAGAAAGGGTCGCTATACATGCCAATAAATAATTGCTCTACTAGCGCGCGGTGATGGCGCTCGAGGTCCAGGCCGGTTAATTAACGAGGCGGTTTACGACGTATATCGCGAACGTCACTAAAACGTACCTTCATTACCGGCCGGCGGCATATCTGAGCGTGATCTGGACCACGTACGAGCGGATAAAGTCGATACCCAGGCCCTGAAAAATTCGTGAAAAAATTCCGTCTCTTACGAGGCATTTGATACAAGACGAGGAAGTCTGACGTCGACCGGCGGAATCTACTGCCGCGTCGATTTTTCAGGCGAAACTGTGGTCGCTCCCGTGAGAAACATTTTCCGTTCCTCTGGTAGACGTACGAGGTGCTCATAGTAATTAGAGCTTTGCGATTAGAACCCCTACTTGTATCACAATCAAGGGGAATAGAGGAATTAGTTGTAATGAGTGCAAAACGAACGGTGGAGAACGAGATATAGTTTAATTTCGTTGCAACCTTAGTGAAAGAATAGAGAATTAGGAGATAAGGTTATCGACAGTAGCTTCTTCTGATAAACAGTAGTAATTGTTTCACTGTCATATACCTTATAAACTATAAACCATCTGCATCTAAAACTATGTACCATTAGCTTTAATTCTTTATTATCTATCACTTGGTACAAGATAATCAAAAAATAAAACGTCAGGTTTGGAAACCTCTCATCGTGAATACAGTATAATTTGAAAAAGAAATAGCGATAAGGAGAGTATAGTTCAATTATATAAGTGGCTAGTAGAAGCAGTAGGTAGTCAGTATTTATAATTCAACAAATATGAACGAGATAAAATTAATATTCATAATTATTAAATATATACAGCCATGTAAATGGGTTTGAAGTGGAAGACAATAAATGACTAACTCGTGAAAATTACGATGTGTGCTAAAATACATTGGAACTTTAGAGATGCATATTCGAAATCGTATCATATTTACAAAGGACAAGATTGTCAGAAGAAATGTAACCAGAAATTAACATGACACTGCAATTACATTATTAATTATTATTATTGTTAGATGTAAGAGAGTTGTTATCTAATCATAAGTAATTATTTATGACTCACATATGTAACATGTAAGTTGTTAATGTAATAACAATAAATAAATAAATTAATAATACACGTTTTGAGTATTACCATTAAACCTAAAAGTTTCGAGGAATTTAAAGCAGTGAAATTTATCATTTATTGTTTCAATTACTAATTTTATTTACGCTACTGTTGATACATAAATAAAATAAAATTAAACAGTATAGGTATACCGAGTTTTTAGTTCAAAACCAATCCCATAATCCAATACGCCCTTCGCAATCAAAGCATTAATAGAAACAAATATTGTCGCGACTGTACGACAGTATGCTCTATCTGCAGTAGATTGTACCGGTTAGCGTCAGACACGGGAAATCGTCCGGGAACGAAACCGAATAGCCATGCTCTTCCAACAAGGTTAATAATAAAACTACAATTACAGAACGATACACAAATCCTTAATTATTGGAAAACAAGTTCAATTGGACTAATAAATATTACACTAAACATTCCGCCTTCGGCGTCACACTCTTTTCTAACTGCACCTTGTAGCGACTCGAGCAAATCCGAGCAAAACATTCCAATCCGAAGAAACACTAATAGCACTCGCAGCCGAAGAAATGCGATGATTAAACGAGACAAACCGAGCTGACAAATAACAAGAATGAACGTGCGCACGACGCATCGAATAAAGCTTCTAATTAGCATCGCTCAAACAATATATCGTCTCGAGTTAAGCAACATCGGGCAACCGCTACGAGCGAGTAACACGCAAAGGAACGAACGTAACATTAAAGAGATCCGAGCTAACATGCTATTCACTATTGATTCGATTAATTAAACAGGATCCGCTCGACTTCTCTAGGATCTATACATATATTTCTACCAACGCAGCAACGTACCGTCAACTGATCAATGTCCACGATATCTTCCCGGCGAACGTACTGGAAGCGAACGGGACCAGGATTTCTCTGAACGAATCAGCCTCGAAATTAGTATTTTACCAACGATTTCGAGACAAATTGCTACCGAGGTCGGCGCTGCTAGTTACCTAATTAATATACCAGAAGGAACATTTTGTCCCGGCTACGAGTACGTTCTATCAAAGCGTAACGACTCGCCGGGTTGAACATTTCAATTAATTAGATACCAAACGTGACCACCCACCGGCGATATCTAGCAACGATCTGAATCAGCTTTAAAGCACACACGTGTACACCCGACAACTTTAAAATCAAAGGTCACTCGAAGCGCATAAGAGAGTTAATACATGCTGTAAATCGCCCGGACAAATTATGCTGCCGGTCTGGCATCGGCCGCTCAACTAATACCGTCGATAAGCAGTATTTCGTCAGTTTAATGGCACCGCGTGCCCGTTCGATGCTAACCGTTTCAATTAATTAAACGCCGAACGTGGCCGCCAGGCAGAGCTTCGCGGAACTCATTCGACGCGACCTAATCGCTGCAGAAGTCAACCAACGAGACCTGAACGATATTTTGACGAGGGAAGAACCAGAGAGCTGTGTTCTATGAACGTAAGTCATTTGATATCAATGGCTGCAATTTAATATAATTTGTGAAGGATGTACGATCAAATTCTTGTTATTGTATGCATCAGGGAATTGTGCAACACGGAGTATCATTTTATTTAGTTTATTAAAGGATGACCATACGTTTATACGAATAAGCAACAATAACAGATTTATTAAACGATTAACTAGAACACAAAGGTTTCGGAACGTCCGAATTGCAGAAGGTTTGTCACTGTTCTCACTATTCGAAGAATTGCCGGTTCTTGAATGGCAACAGAAACATCGGAACTTCGCTTAACCAATCTCATTTCAATCAACCGAGTACAGAGTTAAGTCACATGGCGAGGAATGTGATAAAATTGTTAATGCATATGCTCCCCAAACGGAAATACTGTCCGAGTAGGTTTAGACCTAGTTTTTTTGTTGGACGCTATCACGCGAGAAGCTGCGAATAACAATAATTTATAATTTACGACTAAACATTCAATCAATGGTTATTCTGTTACATGATGGGGAATGTGATAAAATTGTTAATGCATATGCTGTCTCCACGGAAATACTGTCTGAGTAGGTTTAGACCTAACCCTACTTCAGCATTTGAAAGGTCCCCTGCAATACATTTTTATTGCAAAATCTTAGTCAAGTCTCACGACAATTTGTGTATTTAAACTACAGATCGAACTACACATACGTATTTTCTGAAATTTTGTTTTCTTGCATTATAAAATTATCCCATTTGTAATGTTCTCACATTCTGTGCGAAATATGATCCATAAACCCGTATAACCTAACTGGAACACTTGTATATCGTTCCTAATAACACAACAGGTATTGGTATATTTTTAACTGAATTGCCGATCTTGTCAAAATCTTGTCAAGACCATATACCTATTTCTAATCGTACATTCTAAATTGTTAAAAATTCGAGATCGATACGCACGTTTCGATATTTTTCGAGATCAAGACCGAGATCGTAGAAATCTCGTCTCGTCTCTTCCCATGCGCATCACTAGGAGAAACGAATGTCCTGCGCAGGACATTCAGCGAGCGCGACTAATTGCCGATCCGGCAAAATCTGTATAAATCGTCCGGCTTAGCACCGACACGGCTAATTACAATACCGATTTCCTTATCGATTTTTTCCAATCTCAGGGCGCAAAGTGCCGCGAGCGGCTAAGGAGCGGTTAACGCGAGCGCTGATGTAAATTTCTTCCCGTGAAACTCGAGCGGGCCCGTTTCACGGGCTAGATTAATTGCCGCGATCTATAAGATTGCCGGCGTACATGAAATCGGTATCGCGTGAATCCGACGGCACCGTGTACATATTTAAATACGCGCAGGTGTACGTGTCGCAGCCAGTACAGCCGGGCACGTTGGTAGCGGCGACGGAAAACGTGAACGTGTAGCTGTACGTGGCATATACCGGGGAGACAATGCAGACATTCGTTTATCTACGACACACGTTGATTTACGGGGAGCCGAGCAATCGTAGGACGTATAACGTGTCCTACGATATTTCGAGCCTCGAACTAGTACAGTCGAACGATTGCGTACTAAGGACGACGGTGCTGAAAAGGAATCTGACCGTGTGTCGCGTTACGTCCCGGGGCAAGAATGATCCGCTGAGCAGGGAATCTCGGGCAACGACATTTCGACTTTAGATCGTCGGGAGTGTGGAAGACCCGGGAATGAGAAAGTGAGAAGAAAGTGGAAGGAGGAAGTGCAATTATGATGTGCAATAATATAGAAAATATACGTAAAATGTACATAATATGTGTTGAAATATTCTACAATTATTATAACGATGTTGTTATTTCATTTTGCATAAGTGCACATGCCTCTTGGTTATGTTTAGTATATGTTTACTATATTAGTTTGTATCATTAAATACATAAAATCCGCAGTCTGCTGATAATTAATAATAATATTGATGATTGTTGGCAGCACCACCAACCTGATATATCAAAGTGAATCTCTTGCAAGTTGTCTCCAGAAAGAACAAATTCGGTCCATAGAGAGTTAATGGTTTATCAATTAAGTTATTTAGATGGGAGACAACAAATATTCATTTTTAGAACAACGAAGGACACGTAGGATGAGCGTTCATCCATCTGTCGACAGTTTTCGATCTAAAAGATGGAAATGAGTTCAAAATAAAAGAAGAAGAGTATGTTTCGATCGTATCTTATATTTGAAATAAAGAGTGCTTAGACCTACTGACTTTTGTATTTGTATATCTCTGTATGGGTAGTTTATGTCGTATACAGAGTGATTCCGTATTTCTACAGCTAAATATTATGTGTTCTATTGCTATAATTTCGTACGGCAGGCCAATTTTGATTTTTCTTAAAAGTTACCTCGCAGTTTGTAAAAGGACACAGAGAATTTATCTCAGAAGTACTAAAACCGAATTATCTCTAAATTTTCTCACGAATACCCCATAACCAGTCGCAGAATCAAAGCGATGTGATTCCAGCATATTTGCGCAAACGCGATCTCTCCCAATCTAATACTAAATCAAATTTGTCACGCCACAATCCAAACAACCATAGCTCGCAAACATCGTCAGAGATACTCGAGTATTTCCGCATACCGATACCTTTACAC